CGGGATTATGGTAGTCGGGATTTCAAGCAGTCGGGATTTTAATATAGCCGGGATTTCGAACGTCGGGATTTCGATACAGTCAGGATTTAAGTACAGTCGGGATTTCAATAGACGATCTTTCGGTTGTCGGGCTTGCGATTGCCACCGGTATCAAACAGATGATACGATTTTAAAAATAATTTATATTTAATAAGTCATGGCAATGCAGTAAAATCTATTATTAATTATTGTGTTCTTTTTTTCTACCCTCTCTGAGGAAAATATCTTTTGAAAATCAATGATGAGGCGATTCGAGAAATAATCAATATCCGTCGAACGATGTTGTTTCTTTTTCTTCACTTCTTTTTTTTTTGGCAGAGCTCCATGAAAATTTTATCGCGCGCACTATTATGTTACGTAACGTGGTTTCGGAACGCGCGCATTCTTTCATCAATGAATAGAATTTGGATAAGTTCAATACATATATATATATATATATATTATTTTTAATTTGCCATGAATGAAAAGTGTATATTTGAAATGAATGATTTGCTTTTTTCTGAAGTTATGATGTTACTTTAGTAAATGAGAGAAAAATAGGTTGATAATAAATGGATTTTCCAAGATGCATCCGGTCGAGGTATAGTTTTACTATGGTCGCAAAAAGGGGCTATAGAGGGGTTTGGGAATACGCGGAAATGTGCGGGTCCTGAATCCGCGCAGCGTAAACACCATCAGCTCATGCCAGTGCCGTAACAAACTTTAGGTCTTTTCGGTGTAAAGAAAGAAAGAATGTAGAATGTTTTCAGATGAATCAAATATTAACAATTAGTAATGATTTCATTACTTTGCATTCTTCCTAAACGCAATTCGTTTGATTAGTGTTTGTAGAATTTCATTGTTAATTGTATCAATTGATAATGAAAGATACTTATGTAAGATGAAACTTTCAATCAATCAATCAATCAAGCTGTGATGTGATTGCTCTTTTTTGTTGGGTCTACGATTTCAGCAACCCCTACTGTTACGTCCCTGTTATTACCAAACCCTCTCCATCTCACTCTCTACCACGTGCAGTCAATACTTTGGTAAAGTCTTTGTTCCAATTCCGTGTTTTCTCGTTACGTGTGTGCGTGCGTGCGTTGGTGCAGTTCCCCTACGCTACGTTCGGTCGTTCGGTAGAATTCGATTGCGTTCGGGTGGTGTCCGATGGGAGAACGGACGTACGTTTCGTTGCGGTGTGAAACGCGCGCGCAGCTCTCCGATTGGTCGGTCGAAAGGGTCCGATGCGAGCGACGCCATTTTCAATCGAGATCGAGAGAGGAGTGACGGACGAGAGACGCACGGGTCCCGTTTTTCAGTGGTGGTGTGTGCGACGACACAAACGAAAAGCGACCTCCAGTTGTCCACAGTACACTCTCGTTTTATCCTTTCTATCAAATTATCGTTGTGCGTTATTGTTATTAATATTTTTTTTTTAAATCGAATCCTGAGCCGCGACATCTTCGTCGTCGTCCTCTTGTCACACACACACACACACGCACAGAAGTCTCCTCTCTGTCGCTCTCTGCTGCGGCGGGAAAAGGAAGTGTGCATCGCCGTCGTCCCGAGAGACGAGAATCACCAAGCAACCACCAACCAACCACTTTACGAGAACAGATACCGACAACCAACCCCCAATGCATCGGGGAAGACGTGGAGACGCACTGGCGCACCTAGTAAGTAGATCATTACATCTACCAAAAACCCACCCCCCTAGTAACTAACTACTACCTTCCATCCACCCAAAGAGCATATTCATATTATTCTGCATGCTGCTCTAACAATTAGAATGATCTAATTGTTAGTGAAGAGATGGAAGAACATTTCTACCCTTCCCCCCCCCATCTTGTTTATTGCATTACTGTTTTTGTTGTTTGTTTTTTAAATAATTCAATCACGGCGCCGCTTTTCAATTGTTTATACTAAAAGTACCGGTTGCAGTTCAATATTTTTTATTTTTTTTTCTTTGCTTTCGCATATTCGCATCGATTCTTTCGATTTGCGAATTTGGGGCATTATGTCGTGAAAGTCGCGCGCGCGTGTATATATGTATGCGCCTGAAAAATGGTTCGGGTGGTGTGTGAAAGAGAAACGGTTGTACGTCGTTCGTTCCGTCTCCGTCGCTCCCATCGAACGCGCTATAGTTCCGTCCTTGTCGTGCGCCGTTCGCACCAAGAGAAACTGGGTCACGCATTCGGGGATTTTGCCAGTTTTCCCACTAAATTCTACAAATCCCCGGAACACTCTCTGTGCGCGCACACGTAGAGCCCTCTCTCGCTCTCGCGCGCGCATTCTGTGGGGGTTGAATAGAAAAAGAAAAAAGAAGAAGAAGAAGAAGAAGGGAAGGGAGAGCGAGCGAAAAATAGTGCAGAGTGAAGAAGAAAAACGGCAAAAACGAAAGTTACCAATTCCTACGCGGAGCGGTCGCGCTGTTATTACTACTCATATATTTATTATTGTTGCAACGGTCACGTACGTCGCAGCTCGATAACAAACAACACCGCCTGGTCTGTTTGTTTTTCTTTCGTTTATCACATAACCAATTCTCTCGGTTTTTTGTTTCTTCGACTATCACAACTCGACATTATTTCGCACGAATCGAAACTGCATTTCCATTCGCCTTTATGAGTGGTAAGTCTTAACAATTCCATTTCGATTATCAATACTCTCGTCCTCTGGTTAATCTATAGGCTTACTCATACTTACTCATAATAATCTATTGTTAAATTAACCAAACTTAAAGGTGCTCTTGTTTTGTATGCCGAAAACCTATTGCAGTTTTTTATTGTTTCATTATACTAACATCTTAATCATAGCAATACTAACTGAATTGATTTAGTAAAAAAAATGTTTATTTAAATGCAACGAAGAAGCAAGACTTTTTTTCAAATTCGAACAATAGACTAATTGCTTTTTTCTTCTTCTTGCAGGTGATAATTAAACGAGTGGTAATTATATTATAACTCGAGACACGTAGCCACACAACCGTAGGATATATACAAACACATATTTCTTGACCAGAAGGGGATACTTGCATTGAAAAAAAAACTAAACACAGTTATATAATATATATATATATACAGGTGATTTGTTCTCGTTAAACAAATCTGTGTCTTGTTAGTTTTTCTATATTGCTTGTGTGTCGGCCTGGGGTAGTAAGATTTTTGTTGTATTATTTTGTTTTTTGGATGAGGAAATAATGGGTCTGATGCTAAGGATCTGCACAGCACTGAATCATTGAATCAGGTGGAACAGTTTTGTTCTTGGTTGTGTTTTTTCTTCCCCCCCTTCGATAGGTAGTGTTTGTGAGTGACAAGAAATAATAGCAGAGCAATGTCTGCGAACAACCTGAACAACGTCGGCATCACCAGCAGCGTGGCAAACGCACTCGTCGCAGGTGTCGGCGGCATGAAGAAGGGCAGCGCGACCAGCAGCAACAGTTCTATGGCCAATACACCGGCCAGCACGCCCATCACCAACGGCCAGATCACAAGTCCACCGCCAAATAATAACGCTCCAAAATATGGTGAGTAATATTCATAGTTTATCAAAGGAATATTATCCTAACGATTTTGGCACATTAAGTAATATTGCAAATGATCAGAGATAGTTTGCTATTTCGAACAACATATCGGAAGTTTGTTTTGTTGTTGAAAAAGAAAATGTAAGAATGTACGTGATGATCATGATCTCTGGTGGTATGCAATAAATAGTTCCAGTTGGCTGGTTCTATTGGTGATTCTGATGTCATGGTGACAATTTAAAATAATCTTGTTATTTTAATGTTTAGAGAGTGAATTCGAGTTTAAGTTTTTTGTTCCGTGTTCGTTCGATTCGTTTACGTTTTCTGCACTCGCACCTATCCACACAAAATATATCTTATATCACATCAATATCCACCAATTACGAGCCCGTCATAAATGATCGAATGTTGTTTAGGTACGCTCGTGCCGAACAGGATATTCGTGGGCGGAATCTCTGCGAACACGACCGAAGCGGAACTGCTGCAGCTCTTCAGCAGCTATGGTACAGTGAAGGCAGCCAAAATCATCCAGGATAGAGCAGGCGTCTCCAAAGGATACGGCTTCATCACCTTCGAGAGCGAGGACGACGCCAAACGGCTGCAACGCGAGGCCGACAACATCGTGCTGCGCGAACGCAAGCTTAACATTGCACCAGCAATAAAAAAGCAGGTATATGATCTATCACATATCAGTTTATTTGCAAATCTCGAATGTATTTACAACGTTCTTCATTCTGTCTCTCTCTTATTAGCCGTTCAGCCGGACGTTCGATGCGTCCAGCCCTCCGGCAGTTGCCGCCGGAAACCCGCAGTACTTTTTCCAGCCAGGAGCGATGCCTTACTTCCAAGGAGGTGTCGCCTATTATCCACAGCCGCCAACCGGTCCAGCCGATCCAACCGCCCAACAACAAAATGTTTACCAACGTAAGAACACGTTTATTTACACCCTTTAACTGTCCTCTTACACGAAAACCATCGAGATGGATGGGATAATACAACGATCAACGATTTCATGTTTTTGATGTTTCGCAGCTCCTTCAGTGTATCCACCACAATCCGCTCCTCCGCAGACCGCCGCCGCTTATCAACCCGTGATCTATCAAACCCAGCCGATTTACATGCCGCAGCAGTACCCGATGCACGTACCGGTAGGTGTTCACTTGCCAAGCGCAAGCTGTATGGTTATTCCAGTCTCTCTCTCTTTTTTTTATAAGTATACGTAGTTGTATATATAGTATTATTATGTAAGGAGTGTTGTTTTTCTTGGAAGAATTAAAATGTGTGGATGTTTAGTCCAGCAATTACATATCGGAGGGACTGTACCCGGTGTCCCAGCCTGCGTACGTGTTGCTGGACGGCCTGCAGTACTGAGGGCCCCAAATATCCTGCTCCGCCCCCTATTTAAGGTCTATATCTGTTCAGACGAAGCAAACATATATATATATATATACATAAAGTCAATTTAATTACTTTTATGATTTTGGTTTTGTTGCACGCAAAATACAGCTGATGGTTTTGCATGTGTACTACTTATTTCATATAGATATATGATTTTAACTCTTTTATTTTCTTTCGTTTACTCATCATGTTTATACGCTTTGTTTGTTTGTAGTAAATTTCTACATTTCTTCTTTTTTTTTTTTAATTTATTATTTCGTTAATACTACTTTACATAGACATTATATAGGTATACTTTTTGTTACTCATTTTATAAATTGTAAATAGTTTGCTTTTAAAACTAATGGTTATTGGGCATTCCTGTTTTTCTCTTTTACAGTACGAGTACGGCTTCTTTCCAAACGGCGGTACGCAATACATGGTGGGGGGCCAGGGCGGGTCCCAGTCCCAGATGCAGCCCGCTGCCGCCGCCGCAGCCGCCGCTGCGGCCGCAGCAGCCGCCATGCAACAGCAGCAGCAGCAGCAACGCGCCAACAGCCCACCTGGTGGAGGCGGCGGCCCGCCATGCTACGGACAACAGCTTCCGCCGCAGATGCCGCCCCCATACGCAGGAACCCCGGACGGCACCGTGTACTATAACGTACCACAAATTTATGGGGGACCCATCGACGGCGGCCCGGTGTACGCCGCAGATCCGACCGTCGCCGGCATGGATGTCGTGTCCATGCCCAACGGGAACATCACAGAGGTAATGCTACAGCCAAACAAATTTAACGCTCCCACCACACTACGCCATCAACAACAACAACATCACTACTACCATCACCACCACCAGCAACACCGTTTCCTTAGATCACATAGAACACAGCGACAGTCATTAAATATGATCAAACCGAATCATATTCAATAGCTGTGTTGTCCTTCAAAAAAAAAAAAAAAAAAAACGAAAACATCGTTGTACAGGAGTGGTTCTTAACCTGCGTTTGAATGATCAGACCCGCGACAAGTACGGTTCTTTCTTTCTTTTTCTTTTTTTTGGCTTTCTCTCTCTTTATTGAACTCTCGATTTTACGCAATTAGTATGTAAGTGACGATAGGTTAAGATGTACTGTTGTACTGTTTTGTTCAAGTCCCATTATGTATGTGTGATGTACATTGCAAAGTTAGTTTCTTGTACAAAAGTGGTTCTTAACGTATGTTCAACGAATTATTGATCTCGTGCACTATTTTCGGCCCCTTGATTTGACCCAATAAAGACAGCTAAATTTTAACTTTACATACTTTTCATTTAGCTTATAAAGAACGTAGGTTAAGATGTACTTTTGTAAATTGTATATTCACGTCCATTCTTTCAAAAAACGACTACTCGTTCACTCACTACTGAATAATCTTAATAATTTACTTAATAGGTTATTACTGAGCAGTGGTCTTTGTTGAGATTTACGTTGAAAATAACCAACATTGTGCAGAAGTGGTTCTTAACCTGTATTTTGATTTTAATAATAGTCATAACACAAAATTCACGTAGTAGCTTCAGTAGTAATGATAGGTTAAGATAAACTGTTGTACAGCAGGTGTGCCGCGTGTTCTGCAGGTGTGTAACGATAGTTTTTTGTTCCACGCAATGTAGGATTACGAGGGCGCAGCCAGGCAGCAACCTCAGGTTCAACCGCAACAACAGCAGCAGCCAGTTGCAAACAGTAGCGAGAAGGACTGTAGTGTAGTAGATCATTGTAGTAAGACGGAGAGTGGTACCGCCAGACAGTCGTCGTCGTCCTCCTCCTCCTTGTTGAATGTGACGCCTGTTATTTCGTTGCTGAACATCGATCAGAAGGAGAAGGACTTGTCCTCGATGAAAAGCGGGAGGCGCCAGAAAGCAGTAGTAGTTAGCTCGAATGTACACAACAATCAGTTTCACCACTTGCAACATAATCAGCATTATCATCATCAGCAGCAGCAGCAGCACAACCACCACCACCACTATCATCATCAGCAGCAACAGCAGCAGCAGCACCACCTCCAGCAACAACACCATTATTCGCAGAACGGTTACCAATCGTTCGGACATCAACAACAACAACATCCGTTCTACCAGGGCTATTACACCTATACCGATAAGTACAACGCGCGCAAATGGCGCAAGAGCGACAGCTGCAGCGTTCGCACAGACTCGAACTCGTCGGCCAGCGTCGTCGATGAGAACAGGAACGAAGAGAAGCTGACAACAACTCCGTCGTCGAACGCTAGTAGTAACAGTAACACAGTGTCGACCCAAATGGTTCATTACAAGCACCAATACAACAACAGGAACTACTCGATGTATCAGCCGAACCACCAGCAGCAACAACAACAACAACAACACAATCACCACAACCAGCACCCGCAGCAGCAGCGCAGATTCGGCTCCTCCGCAGTAGCCGTCGGTCCTCAGCCCACCTTTCCCAAGCACCACTACGCCAAGAGCAACAATCCCCCCTCTAAAACGCCATCCTCTGTTGTTCCCCAGATGCACGCCGGCAGCCAGCACTTTGTCCCGCCCAGCCGTCGAAACAGGCGCAACGTGAGACGCAACGGGTCGTCCACGATGGGCGGCGAAATGGGCGGAGCCGGTGACGCCCCCCTTCCCAATACCGACGTCGTTTCCGAGGCCTGCACCAAGCTGGACGGTCTCAAGTTGTAAACATTCTTGCCGTCACACTCTTTTTTTTTACATTGAAGACCCCCCCCCTTATCAACCCCAATCTAAAACACCACCCACCCTTGACTATAAAACGAAAAATAATACTAACACTCAGCTTCCCCAAAACTTTTCTTTCTGATTCTCTTGACACGCGTAGAATTTATAGAAGGACAGATTAGAGACAGTAGCATATATACACATATATATATATATAAATAATCTGCGGCAAGATTAATTATTAAAAAAAAAAGACTGTGAATATCTTGGTACAAGAATGTTGTTATTTAAAAAAAAAAGAGAATATGAAGAAAAATATTTATTAAACAAAAAAAAAACTTAATTATATATATATATTAATAAAAAAAAATATAATAATATATTTATTGTAAATTTAAAAAACGAAAAAAAGTATTATTTAAATAGCAGGCAAGAAAAAGAAAAAAACAAAGCAAAGCAAAACACACACGGTTTGTTTTATTTTCTTATTATTTGGACTCGAATTAAGAAAGAAAAGCGCGCGCGCGTTGCTTGTCAAAAATAGACTAAAATTGAGATTCTCGAATAGGAAACGTGTCGAGAAGATTAAAAACAAAAATTAAGAGAGCGTGATAAGAAAACAAAACACACACACTGACCTTTTGTTTTGTGTATTAATTAATGTTATATACATATACTATGATTATAATTATTATTTGAGTGAGTTGCCATTTATATATTAATTATTGTTTCTGTTTTTTGTTTGTTTTATATTTTTTTTATTATTTAATTTTTTTTTGGATCTTTGAAGAACGAAGCGAATGATATATATATTATATTATAATTATGATGATGAGATGATGATGATATTCGAGATAAACGAGCTTTGATTGCGGTGCAAGACAAAGCCGCGCTCTTGATCTATAGTTATGTAAGCGAGTACCTCGTAAGGAAAAATAAATAATGATAAGAAGAAAGTAAATATAT